TCGATCAGTTTTTTGCCAGCAAAGACCAAAAATTTTATGAGCGTGGAATTATGCTACTACCAGAAAGATGGCAAAAGGTGTTGGACCAGAACGGTCAATATATAATTTAATAAAGTATTTGTTTATTATACGAAAACTGTCTTTCATTTCCACAAAAGAAAACGAAATGACTTTCCGAACAACCCTATATATTTACTATATTCATGGGGTTTCTTTTGAAGATTTCCCCTTCTCGATAATAATCTAAACAAAACAAAAATATATTTAGTATCAGCATTGCACCCGTGCAAAGCTGGGGGCGGGTCGCTAGTATATAATATAATTATTCATTTCGTCCCTCTAATTTGCTTTTCCCTCAAACACTATTCACCCATCCCCATGATCCTTGAAGACAGCGCATCCTTTAGCGGTTTATTGAAAATATGCAACGGTATTATTGCATTCACTTGTAATTTACTGCATTCTTGGATCACCTGAAATTGCACCTGATGACGATACCGAAGTTTGGGTGCATGGTTCGAAAAAAGTGAGTTGTCCCATGAGAAACTTGATATAAAAGGGTAGAGGAACAAGGATTTTTCGAAAACTCCAGACAAGCAAAAGTGGATTGATGGTAGATACATCAATAAATCTGATAAAAATTATGTGTATAAATTTAAACATTCAATAAGAAACCAATTTTACCCTGATCGAATGTCACAAACGTTAAATGCGTGACGTCAGGACTTCTAATGATTGAGACTAGAAAATTAAGTTAATTAAACTATAAACTATGATGGTTATTCCGAACTAATTATGAGTTATCATACATCGAATTATAATTGAAAAGAAATATATTTTCTAATGTTTTCGGTCTTGGGTCATCAAGATCATTAATTGGAATTAAGATGTACATTTTGTTATTGCCGACAATAACAATTATTGAAAATACAAATCATGCATTTGTAATTATATTCTAATGTGTTAACAAATCAAAGTTTATCGATTAGAAAAAGAGGAACGCATAATATGGAAAATGGAGGATGGAGATAGCACAGTCGATAAATATTGAACGAACCTCAACTGACTAAAAGTTTATGAATTTCATTTTCCATGTGCTGTTATTTTTAAAATCTAACGTAATGCCTCCAAAAGATGGAAATGATGAGAATCAACCCTTCAAATCGAGCTTAGGAATGAGATATCCTACTCTCAGGGAATACCCTATTAAGACTGGAGACGTGTGGATACAAGGCAAAAAAATGGACGATGACTACCGGGACCTTTGGAGAATTCACGATGGACTTTATGATCTTTCCAGTTTTGTAAATTCTCATCCTGGAGGAAGCGACTGGTTAGAGTGGACGCAGGTAAATAAAAATTGGAAGAAACAATTGTCTGCTTTCTCAAATACGTTAAAGAAGAAATTTGTTTATAAATTACTAATAAAAGTTGCCTTTGGTTCTCCAAATTATACTTCAGTCGATACTTAGGGAGTCAAATAATAAATAAAGATATAAAACAAAGAATAGCGCAAGACCGGTCGCTTTTAACAAAAAGAAATCACGTTTGTGCTCGAGATTGGTTAATTTTAAAATTCGAAAACGATTGTTAAAGGGGTATATTTTGGGAACGGCTCCCTATGGATGTGATAAGTCGACGACCGTGTGACAAAAATTTTTTTGAGCCAAAACTAATATTCGGTCCATTATTGGTAAAAGTGTGGCTACCAGAATTAGACCAAGATTTAGCCAAGTTAAAATTAATCAAGAATTTAATTTGTAATATGAATTTAATTTTGCCAATCAAGAATTTATTTTAATAATTTCAAATTCATCAATAAATGATAATAATGCCAACTTGAGGCTAAGTTTATCGGCCATATTTTAAGTGCATATATTCAAAACAAACTTTATCCGAGATTGGGCCAAACTTAGTTTAAATGTACCCAATAATGTAAGTATTTGAAAATTTTTATATTGATAAATCAAAATTTAATGTGAAAAAGTTAAATCCTTTGTACATAATCCTGTAAAAATATTATTGGGAGGACCAAATGGCCAAAATTGGATCAATTTTGGTTTATTCGTGGGCCGAAAAAGCTAACCGAAATTGGGAAAATGTGAGACAACTCACTTTTGGCCTGGGATTTTTGCCAATTTAGGCTCATGATTTTACCTTAGCCAATAACTTTTGCATTAGAAGGAATAGGAAAACAGGACGTAATAGAATCCAATAAGAGATAGGCGAGAAAGGTCTTATAGACATGAAGAGGTAGTTAGAGATAAGTCAGAAGCAGAAAGCGGTGTTAAGAGAAGTAAAAGTGTTCATAAATAGTTAGAGATGTAGGCTGTTATAAATTTCAAGGAATATGAATTCTATAATATTTTGTTTTAATTACAATAGGACATCCAATTTTTAAAAATATTTGACTAGAATAATACCTATTATGTATGCTCCAACAAGGTCCACTTGTGTGGTACAGATGCTACAGATGGCGTTTATTGCGCCATTTGTAGTATTTTCTAAAACGCACTGTTGAGACAGCAGGTAAAAGTTGGCCTGTGTTCTGTCGGAGCTGCCTGCGACGCGCTGATGAGATCCAAAAAGATCGAAATCGCGATCCGCGTCTGGCAATTTCGACAGAGTACAGACCACTTCGAATTATTTTATTCGATTAAGCTAACGTTCCTATCACGTTGAGGTTGGCTACGTCGGGATTCGTTTTCAGCAAGTAGATATCCACACAAGTGGACCTTGTTGGAGCATACGTAATCCTAAAATGTAGCATCGGGCTACAGATGGCGTTTACTGCGCCATTTGTAGTATCTTCTAAAACGCACTGTTAAGACAGCAGGTAAAAGTTGGTCTGTGTTTTGTCGGAGCTGCCTGCGACGCGCTGATGAGATCCAAAAAGATCGAAATTGCGATCCGCGTCTGGCAATTTCGAGAGAATACAGACCACTTCGAATTATTTTAGTAGAATAATACCTACTTAAAGAAATTCTAAATTGGTAAATGATGATAAATTGTCACTATATCGCCGTCTACTGGTATTTGCCACTAGTAATTAAAAATGTTTGAGAAGGTTTTACCTGTTAAGGTAAATCTCGGAAGCGACATTTGCGGAACCTTATCAGTTTAGTCGGTGATTTGTCGTATTACTTATATTAATGAGTTCAAAATTGCGTTAAACATATACGGTTTCGGTAAATTATAGGTAGGCACTAAGTAAAAATTTAATGCTCTTTGATCTATTTTGATTTAGGGTACAGATATAACAGAAGCATTTGAAGCCCATCACATATACACGGGTCCTGAAAAGCTTCTCCAAAAGTTTTTCGTCAAAAAAGCCACAACACCTCGAGACGCACCATTTCATTTCAAAGAAGACGGATTTTATAAGACTGTTAAGAGAGAAGTACGAGAAGCACTGAAAGATATTCCAAAATGGCCAGCCATATTGTCAAATATCTATACGGACCTTTTACTAACAGGATACATTGTTTGTGCAATTTTAGCAGCAGCTAATAACAGCTATTGGATTGCTACGTTGGCAGGAGTGTTTTTGGGAACAGTTACCATTGCGTCACACAATTACATTCACCGAAGAGCAAATTTCAGAATGTACTACTTGAACTTTTCAATGATGTCTTGGAGGTAAGAATTAAGTCGATATAAGTATTTTTTGCAATCATTCTATTAAATCCACTATTAGTAAATACGACCAAGCAAGTAACAATTGAATTGCCAAGGATTGCTAATTGGACAGCTCAGGATTAGCTGTGGGTGATGTGCGGGGAATGAATACCATAACCACACTTTAAAGAAATTGTTCTATCCTTTGCCAATTTTCAATTTTGGTTAGGTTATTATTCGAGGTAAAGCTGATTCTCACAATTTCCATCAGTTTTATGCCGTATTCATATTATACAATAACTGATCGTCAATTTTTCGACAAATTTTGGATGGTACTTAAGCTTGTTTTCATCATGACGTTTAAAAAATTATTCGCTTATTGATGTAGCAGTTGTTACTCTTTCTCTTGAAGTGGATATGAGAAGAAAAAGAAGACAAGAAAAGAAGGAAAATTAAAAAACTGGTTACACAAAAGTTAATTGGACAGATCAACTGAAGGGGAATTTTTCAGGTTGTATGAGTTGATGGAAAATGAGGAAATGGCAGACGGGTGGGAAGAATACTTAGAGAATCTATACGCCGGTCTTAAGTTAGGAGATATTAGAGAAGGAAAATTGTGTGGACTAGGTTAACCCATAATGAGAGAAAAGTTCGATGTACCATTAGAAAACTTAAAGAATAATAAGGCGTAGAGTATGGATGGAATACAGGCGAAAATTGTAAAAGATTCAGGACAAGAGCTTAGAGATCGTATGTTTAAGCTAGTTAGTCACATTTAAGAGACAGGAATAGTTCCAGAGGATTATAAACGGAAAGTGGTAGTAACCATACTTAAACAGAGAGGTGCGGATAGGTGCAAGACATTTAGAACAATTAGCTTAACTTCCAGCGCGTCAAAAATCTTAACTAGAATTGTTGAGAGAAGGGTGGAAAAAAGGGTGGAATAACTATTAGGGGAAGATCAATTTAGGTTTAGAAGAAATAAAAGGCAGGTGGCCATTCTAGCTTTACCGATAACAACAGAGAAAACAATTGAAAAAGGAAAGACCGCGTATATAGGATTTGTAGATTTAGAGAAAGCTTTTGACAATGTTAAATGGGACAAGATGTTAAATATACTTAAAAATGCAGGAATCAGTTGCAGACATAGAAAAGTGATACTTAGTTCGTATAAAGGGTAACAGGCAGTTATTGAGCTCGAGCAGCAACGTAGAGAAGTAAATATTAGGAAGGGAGTCAGACAAGGATGCACATTTTTTGTTCATACATCCAAGACGCAATCAACACCATTAAAGTACAACTACAGGGACAGATATAGAGGAGCAAAAAATCAGTATGCTTAGATTTGCAGATGATATAGCAGTATTAGCATTTAGCAAAGAGAAGTTGGAAATAGCTTTAAATAAAATGGAAGCGGTATTGTATGAAAGTAAAGAGAAAGAGCGAATATAAAATAGGAGACGAAAGATAAGAAGAAGTGACTGATTTTAGGTATCTAGGAAGTCAAATAAGTCAGGGCGGAGGGAGTAGTAGGGAAATAATGCAGAGGATAGCGCAGGTTCGAGTTTCCTTCAATAAAAAGAAGTCACTTCTATGCCCGCGAACGGTTAATTTAGAAATTCAAAAAAGATTGTTAAAGGTGTATGTTTGAAGCCCGGCGTTGTACGAGTGCGAAACATGAACGGTGGGCTCGACGGAAAAGAAAAGGTAAGATGCGTTCGAAATGTGGTGTTACAGGAGAATAATGAGGATACCGTGGATAAGGAAGGTTAGAAATGAAGAGGTATTAGAATGAATAGGAGAACTGAGGACTCTATAGAAGTCAATAAGAAATAGGTGAGATAGGTTGATAGAATAGCTTCTCAGACATGAAAGTCTAGTCAAAACACCATTTGCTTTAGACTTTTAGTATATTACGTTACTGAATTAGGGCTGCTGCTACCGACGATACAGAAAGAAAGCAGGGGGTTGTATTTAAAATGCGTTCAAAAATAAATAAATAATAACAAGCTAATTTACCTATATTCCCACTATTAATTTTATTGGAGCCTATTTTTATATTTCAATATTATTTACATTTAAAATATTGATACCGTAAATATATAAAGACGAGATAAACATGTTGCAACAAGATTAAAAATAAATCACGACAATATCAAGATCTCGGCATACCGAGTAATACGAAAACAGTACAAGATTGGAACTTTTATTATTTTTGATAACAAGACGATATTTCGAGGAATATCGGAATTCCTTGTGTTGCGCCAGAACTGAAATTTACAATTTATGTGGCACCCGCTTCTTTTCCTTTGTATTTTTTGATTTTTCTTGATGAAGCCTTCCACCTGGGAGCAAAAAGTTGGTGTTGGTTTTAAATTAATAAAAATTTTACTACCTTCTCGAGTCGATTTGTTTATATTATTTACAATTAATGCTTACTGTTTATGTGTGGAAAATGTTATCATATTCTGTCAACAGGGAGAAATATTTTTAAATTATCACGATATCTGTTGGTAAACATGACCTTTTCACATTTTTACTAAGTTTGTTATGTAGTTTTCTGATAATAATATAAGTAAAATAACGTCAGATCGGTAGTGTTGCAGAAAAAAACACAAATAGTTTTAAATTGAGTAGGTCCTGATAAGATTTTGGTAAACTTCTGACAAAAGCAATGATATTTGAATAAAATTTTCCTCGTTTCAAGTTTGCCATGTTTATTTCGTATTTTCTTGCATTTACCTACATGTACTTATTGTTGTGTAATAAATAAAAACCGAAGTTGTACTACACATATTATAAAATTTTATTATAAGTATGTGACAGAGCTGTAGGGGTTGATACACACAGGCAGTAGATTAGTATGTTAAATTAGCATCTAGCAAGGAGGAAATAGCACTAAATAAAATGGAAGCGGTATTCACAAAACAGTAATGTATTAATATAAATAAAAGTAAAACAAAAATACTGGTATGCAAGGGAAGAAAAAGTAGGGAAAGATCAAATATAAAGATAGGAGACAAAAAATTAGAAGTGACTGATTCTAAGTATCTAGGAAGTCAGATAAGTCTGAACGGAAGGAGCAGCAGATATATAAAACAGAGGATAGCGCAGGGTCGAGTCGTATAGAAGTCATTTCTATACTTGCAAACGGTTAATTTGGAAATTCGAAAAAGACTGTTAAAGATGAATGTTTGGAACGCGGCGCTGTATGGGTGCGAAAAGTTTAGAAGCGTTCGAAATGTGGTGTTACAGACGTATGATGGGGATACCGTGGAAAGAAATGAAGAGGTTTTAGACAAAATAGGAGAACAGAGGACTCTATGAAAGTCAATAAGAAATAGGTGACATAGGTTGATAGGACACTTTCTTAGTCATGAAGGGCTGGTCGGAGGCATATTATAAGCAGATACAGGAGTTAAGAGAAGTAGAGGTAGACCTATATTAAATTACTGTACACAAATAGTTAACGATGTGGGATGTTCTAGTTTTTGGGAAATACGAAAATTAGGTCAGGATAGGAGAGATAAATCAGTCTTAGGAACTGACGACCTTATGATGATGATGTGATAGCGTATTAATTAAAAATCAACTATTTCTACATAATTCAGTTTGCACTGTATTTTGTGTAGGAATCAGAATTGATTGGAAGTATTCAAACATTTCAAATATTTTTTTTGCATAGTTATGGATATCCGAATTTTATATTTATTGATTGATCCAAAAGTAATTAGTCGAAAAAAATTCAAAAATAATCAAGGGGACTATATTCGCTGCACAGTAAATATAAATAAATAGATGGTGACATACCGTCAATACCTTGATAGAGTATCGACTGGGTTTTGTGGAAAAGTTGCGACTTGGTCGGGGATCCATCGAAACTGACTAGGGCGTGCTGATGAAAACTAATAAGTTCGAAATACTGCCCATAACCAGATACCATATCGATTTTCATTTTTACTTTGTAGTAAATTACTATTCATTAAACTAATATTAATATTTCGATTCCACAGTTTATTTTAGTTGTTTATCTATGACGACATTAAAAATAGTATTTTTTTTGTAATGACGTAATGGCATAATTGCCCATATTTCAGAAATATTTCTGCACATGTTAACGTACTAAGAAATTGATATTACTTTCTTTTGTCGCACATAAATCCGGGCAGTAGTAGATAGTATTAGTAGCTTTTTGCATCAAAATTTGTCATATGGAAACCGCGAAATAGTAGTAAAAAGTAATTGTACTTTAAATGATTAAAAATTAGAAACATGAGTAGGCCCATACGTTAATTTGGGAATGGAATTACCATTTTATGATTTTCTTTTCTTGCAGAGATTGGAGAATAACTCACGTATTAAGTCATCATCTTTATCCCAACACTATAAATGATCTGGAACTTGCAGTTTTAGAGCCCATGTGTCAATATCTCCCTTGGGCCAAAAGTAAATGGTACTTAAAACTAGCATGGTGGTATCAACCGATATTTTACGCAATTTTCTTCATAGTTGGTCATGTAAAAGGGTAGGTATCTATGTATATGCAATTTAATTTACTATTATCCACCATGGTGTAAAAAAAACACCTGTGTATACTTTCTGTTCTAGGATGGTTCATAAACTTCTTTGGAAAATTGGTCTAGTTCCATACAAGGCGCCACTGTACTGGGACGACTTTTTAGCGTACGTCGTCCTACTTGTAATGTACTGGTTCAATAGCTCCTTTCAAAATGTGTTATTGATTTACCTCTACATGTTCTTAGTCGCAGGGTCACATTTTGGCATAACGGCTATTAACGCTGCTCATAGGGACCCGGACATATTTCTCGATGGAGATGCTCCTAGGTAAGAATGAGAGATAGACAGAACAATTAATTGTTGGTAAAAAACTTATGAACTTCTCTACAAGGGCATGGTATCTGGTGGAGAAAGGTTTTCGTAGCAGAAATTGAAACGTACAGTTGTTCAGCTAATTAAAAAACATCAAAACAATGTCAAACTGAGACACTTAACTTAATTAGTCCTAGCAGAATGCAATATTTAAACAGACCATTCAACACTACTTGATTCATCAATCATATAAGGTGGTGGTACAAGTTTTGAACACTAAGAATAATTTAAAATTCTGATTTGTTTGAAAAGTAGAAACATTATGATATACTTCAGTTAATTGATATAAAATCGCTTTTTTTTGTAAGCTGCTTATTCAATTTCTAAAAATACATCCGAGAATGAAATTCTCAGCCACTTTTTCATTTAATGGTGTTGGAAGAATTACCTTCTTTACTATTTTATGTTCTCTGGCCCATTTTAATAGCAAACACTACTACTACTCTTATTTTACGTTAAAAGAAAAATTTCTTCATAAATGAAGTAATTAATTTGGATTTTCAGGCCACTTCCAGAATTGGATTGGGGAGTTTACCAATTGGATACCGTCATTGATAGATCAGACGTTTCAAAATTCCAACTCCTTGTTCTAACCAGTTTTGGAGATCACGGGTTGCACCATTTGTTTCCAACATTGGACCATGGTTTACTAAAATATCTTTATCCAATATTCAACAGAAATTGTGAGAAATTCGGAGCTAATTTATTGTTCAGAACCCACTGGGAAGTGATGAAGGGACATTTTGCACAGCTACTGAGAACTGAACCAAAACCCACACCACCAAAACCACTCAAATTGCTACCAACCGATAAAAAGGAAGAATAAAAATTTAAATTACTACTGGATCTAACTACGTGCTTATTTGTCTACTAATGTATCTCTAGAATCGATACTTATAATTTATGAATTGTAATAATTGTTATAAAAGAATAATAATAAGCATAGAATCTTTCAGTTCATTCAGTTACTTATTTACAATTTATTAATGTGTAACACCGTCACCGTCACCGTCACCGTCACCGTCACCGTCACCGTCACCGTCACCGTCACCGTCACCGTCACCGTCACCGTCACCGTCACCGTCACCGTCACCGTCACCGTCACCGTCACCGTCACCGTCACCGTCACCGTCACCGTCACCGTCACCGTCACCGTTACCGTCACCGTCATAATCATCAAAGGTCTTTAGTCCGAAGACTGGTTAGACAAGGTGACAAGCATCTGCATTTTTCCCTATTTAGAGCCAAATCTATTTGCGAACATTAATCTAGTCAGGGTCTACCTCTACCCCTCTTAACTTCAGTTTCTGCTTCTAATACACATCTCAGACTAGGTCTTCATGTTGGAGAAAGTGTCATAACGACATACCTTGTCCATTTCTTATTGAGTTTCATAAAGTCTACTATTAACCGACTATCTTTAATACTTCCCCATTTCTTTTTTTTTTATCCATATTTTTAACATCCGCTTACAACACAGCATCACAAATTGATCTGACTTTTGCTTGCCTATACCGTACTCTAACCATACAGTTTTAATAATCTTTTCTGAATTTTCAAATGAACCAATTGCGAGTATCAATATTATTTCTCTTTGTTAAAATGATCTCGCCTTGCGTTATTATTTATTTTATATCTCTAGCGATATTCCATCATAATACACTATTTGATATATCAATATTATGCTTAAATGTCGAAGTTGGCGACATCATCTAGTTTTTCGTCTCCTATATTTATTTATTTATATAAGCTAAGACCTCTACTTCTACATCCCTTTCATAGTCATATATTTGTTTTGTTTTTATTAATTTCTATTGATGTTATAGAAAAATACAAGGAAAATGTCAGAATATCTAAAATTCTAGTTGTCATATGTTGATATTGAGATTTTGCCAGACAATTTCATTAAATTTATTTTTTAAATTAATGTTATAAAAATACAAAAGAACTAAATAATAACCAACCGGTCTGAATTTAGCCAATACTAAAGCTAAAATGAGGACGCTGGCATATTGAAAAAAATGAAAAAAAAATATTTAATTTAATGAAATAAAATTGCAATAAATCTGTCTTTTTGTGGTAATTGTTAATATTTATTATCCAGGTCAAGGTGTTGATTTAGGGGTTAGGTTAGGGGTTAGATTGAGGGGGTGAGGAGAATTGTGACTCAAAATTGGGTCGAAAATACTTAGTTGAGAAACGTTGAATTATAAGTTTTTTCATGTCGAATTATGTATTTCATAATTAGATGCAATTTGTAATGTTTTCGTTCTCGGGGTAACAACATCATTAATTTAATTATGTATATCATTATCGCGGACAACATATAAAAATATAAAAACATGCTGTTGTAAATAAATTTTAAAGTGTCAATAAATCAAAGTTTATCGATCAGAAAAACAAAAACGCACAAGATGTGACAGTGCATGATGGTTCCACTGTTGATAAATATTGAGCAAATGTTAGTCGATTGAAAGTTTGTGAATTTGTTCTTCTATGTACCAGTATTTTTAAAACTTAACGCAATGGCTCCAAAGGACGAAATGGATGATGCTAAACCCTTTAAATCGACTTTGGGAATGAGATACCCTTCCCTCAGGGAATACCCTATTAAGACTGGCGATGTCTGGATGGAGGGTAAAAAAATTGACGACGACTATCGGGACCTTTGGAGAATACACGATGGACTTTATGACCTTTCCAGTTTTGTGAAATCTCATCCTGGAGGAAGTGACTGGTTGGAATGGACACAGGTAAATAAATTAATTCGTAAAATTTTGGAAGAAAGAATTGTCTGCCTGAAAGTATTTATGTCAAATAAACAAAAACTTTCTCATTTACTTGTAATGGAGGCTACGCTTCTTACTAGCAAGTAGTATCTCTGCTTTTACATAACTGATTTTGCTTACCCAAAAAACTGTAAAAATTCCCAGTAGGATAGTTGCAAGGTATGTCAAAAAGTATTGGGAATTTTGTGTTTTTTCAAAAAATATTTATTTATTGGCGAATATCCATTTTGTCCCCTTCAAAGTAATCCTCACCATATTATACACTTGTGTCAACGTTTTTTCCAATCCTCGAAGAACTTCAAAAAATAATTTTTTGTAATCTTGTTCAGCTCCTACTTTGTCTTTATCTCCTCAATCGTAGCGTAGCGTTGAGCTTTCATGGGCCTCTTCAGTTTCGGGAACAAGAAAAAGTCACAGAGGTCTGATCTCGAGAACACGGCATTATTAGTGTGTTGTTTTTGAGCAAAAATTCACGCACGAGCAACGATGTGTGAGCAAGGGCGTTATCATGGTGCAAAAGCCAATATTTGTTTTTCCACAAATCCGGTGCATTTCTTAGTGAAAATTGCGCGTAACCTGCAGATAATATTCCTTATTGACCGTTCTACCCTATGATAAGGGCACCTGCATTCGAAGAAAACTGTAAGCAAAACCTTCACCTTCGACCTAACTTGGCGCGCTTATTTCGGTCTAGGCTCGTGCGGCAGTTTCCATTGGGATGATTGAGCTTTGGTTACCACGTCATAACCATAAACACATGATTTGTCATCTCTGGAGTAAATTTGGGCCATAGCGGACAGAGTCCAACAGCTCTTTAGCAATGTTAATGTTATGCTGTTTTTGGTCGAAATTGAGCAATCTTGATACGAGTTTCGCGGCGACTCGTCTCATGCCCAAATCATTGGTAAAAATCGAATGGCAAGGCTCAATCGATATGTTTAGGTTCTCTGAAACTTCCGTAACTGATTCGATGATTGGATAATACTATCGGGTTGTTCGGAAAGTCATTTCGTTTTTTCCCGACAGAGGATTTAATTGTATTCTTTTGCACCCAACTTCACATTTAAGCCGTATAATTTTTATATGCTTTGAGAGCTCATATAGCAAGGCTTGTTTGTGAAAAATTCCAATTAATTCTACGCAGTAGTTTTTGGTTGGTGCCCTTTTAAATATGGAGAGCGATAAGCAGCATTTTCGACATATCTTACTGTTTTACTACAGAAAGGGTAAAAATGCTGTTCAAGCCAGAAAGAAATTGACTGATGTGTATGGAGAAGGTGTGTTGACAGTACGCCAGTGCCAGAACTGGTTCGCTAAATTTCGATCCGGCAATTTTGATGTCGAAGATGCACCACGTTCGGGAAGGCCGGTTGAAGCTGATAAAGATGCGATAAAGGCATTAGTTGATGTGAACCGGCGAATAACAACACGTGAGATCGGATTGAGGTTAAATTTATCAAATTCAACAGTTTATGACCACTTGAAAGGCCTGGGATTATCCTCGAAGCTCGATGTATGGGTTCCCCATATTCTCACAGAGAGAAATCTGTGTCGCCGCATTGACGTCTGCGATTCGCTTCTCAAACGTCACGAAAATGATCCGTTTTTGAAGCGCATCATCACTGGGGACGAAAAATGGGTTGTATACAACAACGTCAAACGCAAGAGGTCATGGAGCAAAAAAGATGAACCGGCTCAAACCATTTCCAAAAAAAAGGTGATGCTGTCTGTTTGGTGGGATTTTAAAGGAATCGTTTTTTTTTTAGCTTTTACCGGATAACACAACGATTAATTCGGAAGTCTACTGTCATCAGCTGGACAAACTGAATGATGCACTTCAACAGAAAAGATCAGAACTAATCAACAGGAAAGATGTAGTGTTTCACCAAGACAACGTGAGACCTCACACAAGTTTGGTCACTCGCCAAAAGCTTTTACAGCTTGAATGGGATACAATGCTACACCCACCATATTCTCCAGACCTGGCACCATCGGATTATTATTTGTTCCGGTCACTCCAAAATTTTTTAGACGGTAAAACCTTCACCTCAAATGAGGAAGTCAAAAACCTCCTAGATCAGTTTTTTGCCAGCAAAGACCAAAAATTTTATGAGCGTGGAATTATGCTACTACCAGAAAGATGGCAAAAGGTGTTGGACCAGAACGGTCAATATATAATTTAATAAAGTATTTGTTTATTATACGAAAACTGTCTTTCATTTCCACAAAAAAAAACGAAATGGCTTTCCTAACAACCCTATAGTTTCTTCACTTCATCAATGTTTTCGTCTGCTCGGGCGTTCGGCACGCTCTTGGTCGTTCACATCTTGTCAGCCCTCTGAGAACATTTTGTGCCATCTATAAACGTTGCTTCGGTCCAAGGTAGCTTCACCATACGCCACAGTCAACATTCGGAATGCGTCCGCGCAATTAATTTTGATTTTCACACAAAATTTGATACAGATTCTTTGATCCATTTTTTAGAATAGGTAAAAATCGAAGACGAACCAAAACACGTGCAAGCAAAACAACTGTCAAAAATTAAGTGAACATTCAACATGGCCGAACTTGTCGGTATAAAATTCGCGATACTTTTTGAACAGACCTCGTAGGTACATACATACATCATGTTTATTTGCTTTTATGTAGTGCAAAATCGGGAGTGGACCACTTTTTTTAAATTTTTAGGGAGAGGACGTCAACATAGAAAATTATATAAAAAATTTTAAAATAATCACAAAATAATAAAGAAAAACTAGTTATTCCAACGGGAAAAACTCGCAGTGAAACTTCTCATTGAAACAACATACTAGATTACACCACTTTATTTTGAAAATAGGCAAGGTTTTATCATTCAGGGAACTCAAAAGACAATAGTGCTTACTGTAAGGATGCATGAACTTTTACTTCATAGTAGAGAACTAAGATGTACTGGTCCGTCTCTCACAATGGTCCATCTTTTCTAACACCCGACTTTACCCTAATATAAGGCGGTATAGAAGACAATACGTGCAGTATGTCGATAAACAATAATTGGTCCATACACAATCTTATAAAAATGCTGTAAAAGCTACTTCGAATTTAAGTTATTTATGAGTTTACTTTGTTTTAGGGTACAGACATAACAGAAGCTTTCGAAGCTCATCATATATACACAGGCCCTCAAAAGCTTCTTCAAAAGTTTTTTGTCAAAAAAGCTACGACACCTCGAGACGCACCATTTCATTTCAAAGAGGATGGTTTTTATAAAACTATTAAGAGAGAAGTACGAGAAGCGTTGAAAGATATCCCAAAATGGCCAGCCATGTTGTCAAATTTGTACGCGGACTTTTTATTAACAGGATACCTAGTTTGTGCCGTTTTATCAGCAGCTTGGAACAATTACTGGATTGCGACATTGGCAGGACTCTTTTTAGGGCTTGTTACCATTGCGTCACATAATTACATTCACAGAAAGGCAAATTTCAGGATGTACTACTTGAACTTTTCAACGATGTCCTGGAGGTAAGAAATGCTTCTTAGATTTTTAGGAAAGAAATGCTTATGCTGCAGGGAAATAAATAAATCTACTGTTCGTTTCAAGAAATTGGAGATATACCCCTTCACTTTATTAGGATGCGCCATTCCAAATTCAATCATATTTGTCTACGGAGCTCATTTCTACACCGATCATCGAGCGAGAACTAGACAAAAGTGTACAGTATCTACCATTTGCAAAATTATTTAAACTGCCTCGTTAAAATTTAAGAATATGCTTTATTTAAAAGCATACTTAGCCAGAAATAATAACAAGTGAATGAACTTGAACGTTCTACACACCTATGAAATTTTTGCTTTGTTTTCTATTGTTAATTTATATACATTTTTGTTTTAAGAAATTGCTAAACATTTTCGTATAGTACTATACAGTTCTAACCGATCTTCTAAGACCGCCCATCGAGAGCTCTGCTCGTTCAAGCTTGTTCCAACCATTTCTGTCTCGCTCATGCCTAGTGTGTAATCCTTATATTTTCTTCAAGGTCACAATTCTAACAAATTGAAATAGACTGTACAAGAATGTCCTCGGTGTAAGTGTTCTTTATTCCTACGTCTAGGTAACACATGGTGAAATGTAGAGACAAACTATTTTTATTTTCGATATTTTTTACTTCTTTCAAATACCCTGAGCTAGTTTGTTCGCTAAAAGGTCAATTTATGCATTGGAGGAAGGGTAATTTCTCGAGTTTTCATAGCTCTCACAACTATCGACACTATTTTCATTAAAAGTTATGACAAGCTCGCATATATGATAGAAAATTTCAGCATCTAAAATAATTATTGTGTTGGTAGATAGAAGAATTATTAAAAAAAAAGTAAGTATCAAATTAAATGAGCTAGACCAAGACTTGACACGCAATACAAAGATCTACACCAAGATTGCGCGAGTCTATAGCAGCAAGAACAAGACCAACACCAAGATTAAAACTATTTGAGTAAGACCAAGAGCGAATAAGCAAGACTGTCCTAGTGTTGGTCTTCGGTTTTGTTTTTTCTCATCACTATTATATTCTTAGTATCAGTCATATTAAATACTATCATATTATTAAGCAGAGATGTGATTTATTTGAAATACTTGCATTTAAAATGCAAACACAAAATAACAAATACCTATTTTTATCTTGCATTTAAATACTTTTTGAGAAAAGCATTTTATATTTTATTTAAAATACTTTTCCAAACGTATTTTCTATTTGTAAAATGCAAAATACATTTTTTGCCGTTAAATTTTTGCTAGCATCATCGATCAAACTATATAAGATGATGAATGAAAGTTGCTCACATTGACCATTGAAGGTATTAGAAACTTAGAAAGGGGACAAAGAGACATTCCGTGAATGCCTTCTAATTGTTTAACTGAGGAGAGCCCAAAAAATTCTAAACTCCTTGGAAATGGATAATGTAATATATTGGACCGATATTGTTTTACGGGTTCAATATGGAATTTTTCCCAATTGATATCAGCACCTATGAAATCACCACTTATCGTACCTATAGCAAAAAACTACGAAATTCTGTGGATTACAACAAAACAGCCCCCAAAATAATATTGAATTGATATACGCCAGCTGTGTAAAACATAAAACTACAAGATATTATGGTATGCTAATAGAAGCCTATAATCCACAATTCTTAGAAAACGAATCGAAAAACTTTACTTATTAGATGAACCCACAGCGAAACTATGGATTCCATTTCTTTCTCTTATTACAATGTATAAAAGATCGGAAACAAAATGGGGTTGTAAATATTTTGATATA